GGCCCATTTTAAAGATTTTAAAACAAACTGAAGCTAAGAGCAAGCAAGACACTTGCTTCAGGTGAAAGAATGAGTGATAATGAGGAGTAAGTAACCTAGGTTTGGCTGACTCCAAAGCTTGTGTTTTAACCCCACACAGAGCCTGGAGGAACCAGTGGGGGGATACTGAGGAGGAGGCGAGACTGACATTTCCTGAGCGTCTGTGATACATCAGTCACTATGTGAGGTAGTTTTAGATCCATGTGGCCCTCTAGGCCTTGGAAGCAGTCTCTATACTTCCAAGATAAGCCCCCTGCAGATCCTGACAATCACAACAGTAGAGAACAAGACAGCCAGATGGGCAGGGACACATGAACACAACTGAATGCAAGTTCTTTCCTCTAGGGTCAGTTCTCTGCTTTACCCGCCTCATGGAAACAATGCCCGAGCAACAAGAGGAGAAAGTTATTCCGTGGCTTCCAACATGAGGCCATCCAAGTGCCCTCCTCAACTGTTAACCTCTCATTTGTTTTATGAAAGAACGAGATTTCCCTTATCTGGGGCTCCTGGAAGCCTCGACCACACTCTACATTGATTACATAGATCACTTGCCAGACTGAATCTGGTTTGGGCCCAGCCCGCCCCTGAGCAATAGCCACGGTAAGGGATTCTGGGGCCAGAGAAAGCGTGTGGCATTTGTAACCTCTGAACGCTTTCATGTATTTAGATCAACAAACTTTCTCTCATGAAAGCAGTAAGAAAAATATGCCAGGAAAGTGGTTTCTCTCCATTTAGTAACCTCAAATGAAACAATTCCTACAATTTCAATAATCCTTGTTGTTATCAAAAAGGCTGCTCTTTCAGGCACCATCAATTCAGCATAAAATGTTTTACATGGGACATTTCTTGATAAGCACATGTAGAGTTTTGCTTAAACGTGACTGTGGATGTTTTTTCCTTGTCTCTGAATCAGGGATCCAGGATGCTCAGTCAGACCTACATAGCAGATGGGTTTCAGAGGCTTTGTAAAGTCAGTACCAACCCTTATGAAAGCTTTAATAGAACCCGTTAGTGACACAGCTGCTTAAATAGAAGACATCTGCTTTAGTCTTGAAGCCACCAAGGATCGGCTGAATGAGGGTGTTCTAGCCCTCCCACGGTGTCTAATTTATGAGGCCACGGGCCTGGGATCTCTTGCACTGATGTGAGGTAGCCCCCAGCCCCTAACACAGTCCCTAGCACATGGTAAGCTAAAAGCAGATAACTAGTGAACGGGTAATTGCAAAATGCTGTGTCACTAGCTATTATTTATTATGGAAATCGAAAGTAAGCATTATGCCCTGCTGTATCATTTACATATTAATTACATGTGCTAATGAGGTAGGAACGCAGATGGAAAGCAATCTGAAATAAAATCTCCTCCTCTCTCAATGTTCCTGGGGTCAGGGAGCTTGCTGTTTTCCCCATCAAGATATTTATCACACTGGACTGCAACTGCACATTTTCTTGTTTGCCTTCCCTGCTGGACTCTTGCCTTGTATGAGGGGAACATGGCTGTCTTGTCCCCACTGTCCCCAGATATCTAGAACAGCGCATGGCAGTCAACGAGCACTTCCTAAACATTCAGTGAAAGGTGGAAGAAATGACTTCATCCTCTCACTGATGTAGGAACAGCTCTCCCTGCTTTGCTACCTGCATGATAAAAGGTAAATAAGGAACATTCATGAGGCACTTAACATTTCCTCAAAAGAAGTCTTATGGTCACCAAGGAGCAGGATTTCAGAGAGGAATCCCTCAGAGCATTCCACCCACCCCTAAAACGAGGCCAAGATTCCAGCCCAGCCCTGCCACTTACTAACAATACAACCCTGGGAAAGTGACGTCACCCACTGCAACTCACACTGTTTGCTCATCTGCAAAATGTACGTAGACAACGAATCCAGGACTTACCTTGAGAGGGTTTGTAAAGATTAAATCAGAGCCATGCATGAAAAGCCCCCAGACTGATGCACAGACTTGCATGTTACCTTTGAGCTGTGGGACAATATCCTCTTTCCCTGCATAAGGGTCGCAGCGAAAGCGGTCCAGGCGGTCGATGGTGCACTGGCCGACGACAGGCTTCCGCCCAAACTGCCTGTGGTCGATGACCTTGATCACCAGGGGGGGCATGTATAATTCCTCCTTGGGCAAGAACTGGGGATCACAAAGGTAGGTGTCATTTCTCTTTACAAGACCAGACAAGGGCAGCTTTGAGAAAAATTTCTCCAGTGGACCAATCCAGATTCTCTTTACCACACAGCCCTGAGGACTCACAATAAATCATTCAGTTACTTATGTGCTGGGCAAGGAGCTCAATGCTTAAGAGCACGGGCTGTCAGCCAGACTACCTGGGGTCAAGTCCTGGTGCTGCCGCCATCAACTGCTGGGCTAACCCTTCCACGCCCCCATTATTTCATGAGTAATAGTAAAATTGTTGAATTACCATACGTGAAGAGTACTTAGAATAGTACCTGGCCCATGCTGTGTCCTGTAAGTGAGGAATCACTGACCCATACTGTTTGTCACTGCCCTGTACTCTTTGCTCTGCTCTGCTTCCTGGGAGGGGACATGTGCAAGGCTAACAAGCCCAGAGCTTTGGTCATCTACTAGCCAAGTTCTGAGCAGACTTTAGAAATGGTCAAGACAAAACTGAATCTCTAAGAGAAATAACGATGGCCAAGAGTCTTTTCGCCCTGGAAATTCAGTGCAAAAATGGATTGCTGCTTTTTCCTGACTCCCCCGGCTCCCTCTCATGGAATTTGGTGGCTTTGGTGACAATGCCTGATTGGGGAATTGTGGGCTGACCTAAGGCCCCACTTGGTATGTGGCTCAGGTGAATTTCTGTCTTTGGCCTGACACAGGAATAGAAGCTGGGATTATCCCAGTGGTTTTTCTCATCTCTGCTGACCAAGGTTAGATTGTAGACTAGAACGTGGAAGGGGATGGAGGTGTGGGGAGTGGACTAGAACGTGGAAGGGGATGGAGGTGTGGGGAGTGGACAAGAACAGGTGGAGTGGCCCAGGGGCAACCACTTTGGGACCCCTGCTGGGAGCATCCCAGTGGCTTGCCATCTGTTGCATGACAGGGAAGAGAGCACGGGCTTTGGGGCTGGAGGGACCTCTGTGCAAACACTGGCCACTCACTAGCGATGTCCCCTTGTGTACATTAGTTACCTCTTGGTTTTCCCCAAAGTGGGTATAAGAGGGGTGAAGATATTTACCCCGCAGGATTAAAGACTAGGTGTACCAAGTAAGAATGCATCTAGCACTGCATGACAGCTGTCACTGTAGTTAGGACACAGTCACTGCGGTATAGACGGCGTCGCCTGACACTATGACACTGGATAAACATTTCCCCTCTTTAGGCCTAAGATTTCTCCTCTGTAAAATAAGAGACTGAAGCATGTGACCCTGGAGTTCAAGAGCACTGTATTGGAGACATCAAGGTCAGGAAAATGACTGGGGTGGGGAAAGGAATGGGAAGCTTCTAGGTCTTCCAACACTTCAAGGTAATGAACTATCTTTATTTCACCTATTTATACAATAGAGTAAAAACGGAAGGTTTTTTGTTTTGTTTTGTTTTTGTTTGGTAAAAGTTAAGAAATTAACTGCTTTAGGCTGGGCACGGTGACTCATGCCTATAATCCCAGCACTTTGGGAGGCTGAGGCAGGTGGATCACCTGAGGTCAGGAGTTCGAGACCAGCCTGGCCAACATGGAGAAACCTGGTCTCTACTAAAAGTACAAAATTAGCTGGGGTATTTTTTTGTGTCTGCGCAAAAAATATCCCAGCTAACTTTGTATTTTAGTAAAGACGGGTATGGTGGCACATCCCTGTAATCCCAGCTACTCAGGAGGCTGAGACAGGAAAATCACTTGAACCCAGGAGGTGGAGGTTGCAGTGAGCCAAGATCATGCCACTGCTCTCCAGCCTGGGCAACAAGAGTGAAACTCTGTCTCAAAAAATAAAAATTAAAAATTTTTTTAAAAAAGGAAAAGAAATGAACTGCTTTAAAAACGGAAAGAGGGCCGGGCACGGTGGCTCAAGCCTGTAATCCCAGCACTGTGGGAGGCCAAGGCGGGTGGATCACGAGGTCAAGAGATCGAGACCATCCTGGTCAACATGGTGAAACCCCGTCTCTACTAAAAATACAAAAAATTAGCTGGGCATGGTGGCGCGTGCCTGTAATCCCAGCGACCCAGGAGGCTGGGGCAGGAGAATTGCCTGAACCCAGGAGGCGGAGGTTGCGGTGAGCCGAGATCGCGCCATTGCACTCCAGCCTGGGTAACAAGAGCGAAACTCTGTCTCAAAAAAATAAATAAATAAAAATAAAAACGGAAAGACTGGGTGACCTCTTCTCGCCCCAGGTATTACAGGGTCTGTGATGGAGGGTTGGGAACTCACATCTTTACCAATCAGAGGGTAGACTCGATGGAGCACAGAAGGTGCCATCCCAGGGGCACCTGGAGGTAGGGCACAGTTAGGGGCTACTAGGGGCATGGCCCCATCACCCCATATACCTTCCCTCACAAGCCGCCCCTTCCCCAGACAGCCCGTCCTCATCCAGAGGATTCTGGTCCATGCACATCTGTAAGGGGTCTATCTGGTCCACGCATGACTGGGGGTTAATATTCTGCCCTCATGGGGTTGACCAAGAGCCTGTAATATATAACCTGGATAGATGGAAAGTTTACTGGAGAAATAAGTAAGTATTGCTCACAGATATTTCTGTGCCACTGGAGTTGTTTTGATGCTTTAAGAAATCATCACTACGGTGTGAGAATTTCAGGGGAAAAAGTCATTGGCAAGCTGAATATAAGGCAGGGTTTTTCTATTTGTCAGATTTTGGAAATAAACTCTGCGTGTGTGCGTGTGCATGTGCGCGTGTGCGCGTGTGCATGTGTGTGTGGCATATACATTCATATTTCAACGCACATGGGTGATTACAGAGAATCAATACTGTACCACTTTCATGAAGAGAACAGAACTTGGAAAGTTGGGTGTCTTCTTAAGGCTTTTGATGACCACTGATTCTACCCTTTCTCCTCCACACTCCACGACAAGACTGGGGGATGTGATAGAAGCCATCTGGAAGTTTTTCATATTTCTTAAGCCCCAGGCTAGAATCTAAGAAAACAATTTAAAGAGAAGGGAAGGTAACCGAGGACTTTAAAAATAATATTCAAAATTACTGGCAAAGTCTTTAAGATTAATTTGAACATTATCCTAGTAAGCTTGTAGGTCATGCAAAGAAAGTGGTTTTGCCCCTTTCTTTCTCCTGCCTGAGACCCTAAAGAAGCAATGCAGTTAGGAGTGAAGCAATCAAATCCTGGCTGTGCCGTCTAATAGCTCTGTCAATGCTGACAAGGTAACTAACTAACCTCTATATGTCTCATCTACAAACAAGACTGATTGTATTAGCTATCATAGGGTTATTCTGATAGTCATCTGTAAACTTGTTTTTTGTTTTTTTGAGACAGAGTCTCACTCTATTGTCCAGGCTGGAGTGCAGGGGTAGCACAAACTAGACTCACTGGAACTTCTACCCCAAGTTCAAGCAATTCTTGTGTCTCAGCCTCCCAAGTAGCTGGGATTATAGGCACGTGCCACTGCACCTGGCTAATTTTTGTATTTTTAGTAGAGACAGGGTTTCACCATGTTGGCCAGGCTGGTCTCAAACCCCTGACTTCAAGTGATCAGCCTGCCTTGGCTTCCCAAAGTGCTGGAATTACAGGCATAAGCCACCACGCCCAGCCCACCAGTAAACTTAACAAGGTGTCTGACATGCAGGCATTTCAAAGTGATGACCTCAGCCTTTGAGAACTCTTAGCAAGACAGCCAGAGAAGGGAAATCTTGGAGTGTTAACAGCTGCTTGACTGGACAGAGGGAAGTCTTGGGAGTCGGCCAAACACTGTCTAACAAGCCACCTGGTTGGGGCCATCAGCCTGTAGCTGACGTGTCAACATTGCCGACGGCTCCCATCCAACTTCCGTCCCTGACTCCCTGCCAAGTCCCTATCTCTGGGCATATAAAGAGTCATTCCCTTCTGGTCCATCTTCCCTCTCCCAGTTCTCTAGTTGATCTGAAAAACCCAGAAACCTACTGGCTCCCAGTAAATGAGGAGTTTATATGCTCTCAGGAATGCTAGAATTGACCTCTCCTTGTTGCTTCAACAAGCCTCTACTCCCATGAATATCTCCAGTTTTTGGACAAGTTGTAAAGGAAGTTGGACATAGCAAGAAAATATGCAGCAGGATTCTATTTTCTATACAAAGATTCCTGTTCAGCAGTCACAGCTGTTTGATTTGATGAGTAACACGTGGGGGGCAGCATACCTCAATGGCAGTGAGCTGGACCACAGGCCTGATCCCCTGGGGGACCATGTATAGATTTGGTGCCCTTTGAGGGGGAAGAATGGGAAGGTTGGAGCCATCCTGTGAAACAAACATGGATATGTCAATACCTCCCTTCAGTTCAAGCAAACAGTGCCTAGAATGAACGCATCTTAAGAAACTGACAGAACACATGAGGAAGAACACAGCAAGGTACCCTGTCCCTCAGAATCAGCTCTGCGGTGACAAGAACATCTCCACAGGCTTTGTCTCCATTCATTACTGGGTGCCAGAGAAGTTTGGGTGCGATGTCCATTTCTGAGTTCAGTTTCACCAGAGGAGAGAAAATGCTTCGTCCTAAAAATTCATCTTTGCCCTAGGGAAACAAAGGAATTCTTAAATTCCCCAACAATGATCCCTTCAAATCTCCATCATCCCCAAGTTATCTTAGAAATTCTAAATGAGCCGGGCGCGGTGGCTCAAGCCTGTAATCCCAGCATTGTGGGAGGCCGAGGCGGGTGGATCACGAGGTCAAGAGATCGAGACCATCCTGGTCAACATGGTGAAACCCCGTCTCTACTAAAACTACAAAAAATTAGCT